CGATACACAACATACAACGATGGCCACCGCCCCGATATATTCCTCTTAACCACCTGAAACTGCTGCTAAATGCATGCCACACTCAAAAAGGCACCTTCCTAGGTCTCTTCGATCTCAGCTTCCACTAATGACTCCATGGTACAAGAAATACCTCACAGCAGACAAACTGCCTAACTACTCTGATGAAAAGGTCACCACCAATGCTACCCCACGGGGTTTACCTCCAAACTCTGAAACCGGAAACTCGATATCTCCTTCGTTTCTCGCAGGAAACGGAAACAACGCAACTCTTGCTACAGAAAGTGACGTCTCATCCATCAGCCGATGGCTCGACTCAAACTTCGTTCCTCCAATAAGCATCATCTCTACTCATCCCTGAGCCTTGCAGTTCCAACTGGCATCTCACCAATAAAATCTTTTGGAAACGAACTCAATCTCCCTTCAAGGTATACTCCATTAAAACTTGCTCGACATGGCCCTCTGGCCCCACACTCTATCACCTGATCTCAGACTAATCAACCACCACGGGACAACTGGTAAAACCAGAAACACTAACCGTCATGAATCATGGTACTTGAACCATGTGATCATCCCTCAATCTTCTATGAATCATGGTACCCGAACCATGTTATCTCCTCTCAACCTGCTACTTAGAACCTCTGGTATTCTCCCTGTTTCGAGTACGGGTCCTCTGCTTTCAGTAGTGCGGGCCCATACTACCTGCCACATCTACCCATACTTTCCACACGGATCGTCCCAGAATTCCTAAGTAGCTCCTCAACCTTCTCGATCACCAATCCCACTAAACCGGGTCACTTCCCAGCGAATACTCTCCTCTACCAGCATACTCATCTGACTAAGGCCACTCCCTAGGCTCTTCCTAGGTTCCCTCACTTCTCTGCCATCAGCTGCTAAAGAACTCCTTATGATGCCAGTCATCTACCTCCTGAATATCGTCATATTCACTTAGTAGTTGACTCCCATCATCAAGAGTTCCACAAAGCACAAAGCAAACAGCATTCGGGCATCGAATAATCTCTACAAACACATAAAACCACTCTAGGTTATCTATCCACTTACTCTCAAAGGTATCACCGAACTCAAGCAACTCTACCCCCTCGCGGATATTTAACTACTCTCTTAGTAGGCTCCTCCAATACTCATCTAGGCATCTCACCTAGATTACTCCTCTACTCAAAGTTCTCTCTAAAAGATTCCTGCTGGATACTCTTACTCAACACATACTCAAAGCACATCATAGATAGCAAAATTCCTAGGCTAAGGCATCACAAATCGGGTAACTCTAGCCCAAGAATATGAAATACCTAGCCTATCTTCTAGCATGCATCACTAATATCTCAATAATAACTTATATCACAAATAAGTAAGGGTATTTTGGGAAATCACCGTTCGGGCTCTGGCTGATTGTACACACTGATCCTTCTCGTTTTTCTTTTAGAAACTCTTGCTCGTTTTAGAAAAATCATTTCTTTTGAAAACTTTTCTCAAATCCTCAGTTTGAGTCCAGATATACCCGAAGGTGCATCCGAATCCCTCAAACCAAGGCTCTGATACCAACTTGTAACACCGTAATTTCCAAACAAAATTTTCATTTTAAATTCATATAAATCTCATAACGTATTTCACAAAATCTCATTTATTTAGTTTACAAAACGCATCTCCATAATTGTTTGTTTAATAATCCAGGATCCTCAAAACATAACTCTTTCTCTGGTGTGTACAATCGAGTCGGTGCCTTCCCGCGATCCTGAGAAAAACCTGAAACACATAACACATAACACGGTAAGAACGAAGCTTAGTGAGTTCCCCAAAATACCATACACATCTCAGTAGCATCTCATGGCTCTACTCAGATAAGACCCTCCGGTCAATGTGTCTTAGTGGGACCCTTCGGTCCCAGAACTCAGGTGGACCCTCCGGTCCTAACCCAATAAGCTCATAATAACAATACTCGGCATAAATCACAGATACATAATGCAGAATATCACAATACACAAATAAGCACATAAAACATCTCAGTCACACAAGGATACCACTCATGGTAAGTATAGTGAGAAGACTCGCCTCGGATGATGAACAACCCCTATAAACGTTGCTGCTACGCACCGGCCACTAACTCTGTGCCAAACCCATAATTATCCCAATTAGAAACTAAGTCCAAACTCTCACTCATTAGGTCTAAAGGTAGTCCACTAACCAGCCCATCAATGACCTAAAACCCATTGGGCCCACCAAGGCCCAATAATAAATGGGCTCTCCCAATGCCCAATTCTCAATCTAAATGGCAAGCCCAACTCAAGGGCCCAAAGCACAATATAATATTTCTCTGCTCAAAGTCACTAATACACAAGCCCAAAGATCCATGCCCAACCCTTAAGGCCCAATAATAAATTCAGCCCAAAAAGCTCTCAGAGAGGTTACGCGGGGCGTACTTCCCTTGGTACGCTCAGCGTACACTAGAATGTACGAATCTGATCGGGGACACCAATCCAGTACGCGGGGCGTACTGGAATTACGCTGGGTGTACACCCGGTTTTGCTTAGTCCTTTCTCTTGGTCTTAGCCCGTTAAGACCTTAGCTCATTTCTCAGATCTGGACTCCCTAATAGCTCTTACTCCATAAAGTCAATGACTTTAAGCCTTTGCATGGCTGATATGGTAACAAACACACAAAACACTCACTCTCTTATCTCAAAAAGCACATAACTCATGCATGGCTTGATACCAACGTCCAAGACCTCATTTTTATGGATCCTCTCCACTAGAAATATTCTAAAGGACAAACATTAGGCTCTGGAGTGCAACAACTCATAAAGCTTCAAGCTTTGGGACCAAAAACCCTTAAATGGATCATAACATGCACAAATCAAAAGGATGGGAAAGCTTTGAGCTTTATACCTTCAAATGATGCTCCATCCACAGAAAAGCTTAGATCCAAAGCCTGGACTCCAACTCTATTCTCTTCCATGCTCCTTCTTCACTCCCAAAAATCCCACAAGAACACTTATAAGCTCACAATAGACACTCAAGCTCAAAGAGCAGGAATTAGGGTTTTGAGAGAGTTGAAATCTGGAAATGGTGGTTGGATATGAGGACATAATGTTCCTTAAATAGGGGCACTCCAAAATATTAGGGTTTCCTTCTGGACCTAGTACGCCCAGCGTACTGGGTGACTCCGCTTTAATTTCACGCACATGAGTACGCTAAGCGTACTTACATGTACGCCCAACGTACTCAACTACCACCTTTCTCAAATAAGGGACTCATTCTGCCACAACTTCAAACTTCCCTAGCTTCCTCGATATAACTCCGATTCCAATGAACCTCATACCCTCGGAAAGGTGTCGAGATGCCCTACGCTTCTAGCAACTTGTCGCAACCCTGAGGCTTCCTCATGCCCGGTTTGCAGCCTATAAACCCTAATCACGGACAATCCGAAATAGGGTGTTACAATGAGAGGTTGCTTGGAGGAACTAAGAACCAATTATTCTTCTCCTTCTTTCAAAACCACCACAAGCTTTTAAAAGTGAGCTTAAAAACCTCAAGAGGGATAAGGTTTGGCCAAAGGGGCATTTGGAGGTGATGGAGGCTGAGGGTGGAGGAAACCCTATCCCCTCACTTCCTTTAAATAGGATCCAAGTCCGAAATTAGGGTTTTGCATATGATTAGGTGTCACGTCGTGACCCATAAAGTGTCACGTCATGACACTTAGATGACCCTTCCCGCATAATGCGACCATGTCACGACTTGATGGTGCCTCCCTCACGTCGTGACCCCTTTAAAATCCATATTTTACTTAAAATTTCGTACCTCGGGGATCCGAATGTTACATGAATGTTTTCTTTCCATGGAGCATTGAAGACTCAAGAGTTAATATCTTTGAATATACTAAAATGTATGATTCTTAGCCTTGTGTTTTCGATTTTAGTAGGTCAATAGTTGTTTCATAAAGTATGTTGCTATAATAGTAAAAAGTTCTAGGTTGCATATACCCATAAGAGTTTATGAATAAAAATCTGATGTGCAAATCTTTATATTGTAACCTAGAAATCCCGTCATAAGTTAAGTCAGTTTTTAAGCATACCAAGAAAAATGCATATGGATGCAGCATATCAGGTGCTTCGTTACTTGATAACCATGCTTGGACAAGGTTTGTTTCTACCTTCGATTAGGAACCTCAACCTAGTAGTTTACTGTGATGCCAGTTGGTTGAGTTGTCCATCAACAAGGAAATCTTGTATTGGTTATTTTATTAGTTTGGGAGGAACTCTTATTTTTTGGCGAACAAAGAAACAAAGTATTGTTGTCAGATCGTCAGCTGAAACAGAATATAGATCAATGGCTAGTATGGTGCGTGAGATAATTTGGTTAAGATGGATTTTACAAGATTATGATGCTACACAGGTTGGAGCTACACCTTTAATGTGTGATAATGAACTAGTCAAACACATCACAATTAATCAAATATATCATGAACGCACCAAGCATGTGGAGATGACAATTTTGTTAGAGAAAGAGTAGTTAATGGTGAAATAAAGCCTTGTGCTATCCGTTTAGAATTTCAAACTGCATACATATTTACTAAAGGTTTTTCGATTCATATGCATCAAATTGAGTGTTCGTGATCTTCACAGTCCAACTTGAAAATAAATTTTAAGATTATTGTAATTAGTTTCATATTTATTAATTTTTTCCGTTTATGTTTCCTTGCTCAACAATGCTCTAACAAGCCTTAGAGTTTTTATCTATTTAGAATTCTTATCCAGTTAGTTTTGCGTCCTATATATATCCGATCAAAAGTTGTATTCATATATTGTAACGAAAGTGTAATAAAGTGTGGGGATAAATGACATTTAAGTCAAGACGAAAGATCGACAGGCGCATTTTATGTCAACGATATTGGTGGCACGATCTGAAAATTAGTCGGACACTGAAGGGTATAATTGTAAATAGGCAACTATAAAAGGACGACTTGAGGGCAGAGTCTGTTTCATGTGTTGCCAAAAGGGCGAACGAAGCAGAGCAAATTCCGTTATCTATCCACACCAAAATTCAATCTTTTCGCATTCTCTCAATCCTTGATATCCATCGTTTTCTCTGAATCGATATCTTTGCTCTTCGAGAAATTTCGCTTGTTTTTTTTGATCTGGAGGTTTTTTCAAATCGAATTTTCTAGGGTTTTTTTGAGAATTCATCAGCCATGGTTTACGATTCGATCGCCAACGCTTCGATCCCGACTGCGTTTTCCAATCCGAAGGAAATTGGCAAGAAAAAGCGGGTACATTTATTGAATTCTATTCAATTGTTCGATTTTCTGAGGCGTATCGTTTGATTGATGGATAGTTGCGAGAGAAACGTGTTGGTTTTTTCTTTTTGGGAAAATAGGGCGTTCTTCTTGTTTTTTGTTACGATCTAACCTGATTTTTTCAATCTTGAAGGTGAATAGGACTGCCAAATTGAAGCAGTGCAAGCTTGATGTTCGTCGTGAACAGTGGCTTTCTCAAGGTGATTTTTCTCAGTTTTTTTGTGTTCGTGTGTAAATTTTTGTATCATGTGTATTTGATCTGATATGTCTTGTATGTAGATGTATTGCTCTTATGGTTAATCAAAATTTTTTTTCTTATAGTGAAGAACAAGGGGTTTAAGGAAGAAAATAAAGGCGATGTTCGTGCAAAAATGCCTGCTTCAGACATGCATGCCTCAAACGAGGGAGATCGATCGCTGGTGAAATTAGTGATTAATCCTGGTGGTGAAGAGAACGATGGTTTGATGAATCATTACAGTGATTGGGAGTCGCCTTCCAACAGCCCTACTAGTCATACGAGCAGCTTGGGAAGTAACAGATCAGTGGCTAATTTCACCGGTAGTAGTAGCCGGAGCAGCAGCAGTAGCAGCGGTGGTTGTTATTCAGAAAGTATGACAGAAGAAGATGATGGTGACGATGGATGCTTGGATGATTGGGAAGCAATTGCTGATGCTTTAGCAGCCGATGACATTAAAAACAATCATAACCCTAATCCGGACTCTACAACTGCATCATCAGAGCTAGAGCCTGTGGAAACAATCAAAGAGGATCAAGAGGATTGCCATGCACAAGTGAATCATCGAGCCTGGAGACCAGATGATGCTTTTCGTCCTCAAGGTCTCCCAAATCTGATAAAACAGAAGAGTTTCCCCATGAATTCAGATCGCCATTATAAGAATGTTGGATTTGCATTTGCTCCATCAACATGTCCGATATGCTGTGAAGATCTTGATTTGACAGACACAAGTTTTCTTCCTTGTCCATGTGGGTACAGGCTGTGTCTTTTCTGCCACAAGAGGATTCTTGAAGATAATGGTCGTTGTCCAGGGTGCAGGAAGCTGTATGAACATGCGGAACAGGGGATTGCAGCTTTCAAACTGGGTCGTTCTCACAGCATGATCCCCAGGCGTTAGAAGAAGTATGTGGTCCTTGTTTTCATGTGTGTCTTTTATGTTTACATATTAGAAGAAAAAAAAGACTGATATTAGTGGTAGGTATGTCGATAGACAGTGTTTGGGAAATATGATCTTGTGAGTTTGCCTATAGGACTTGTTGGGTGTTGGGTGTTGGGTGTTGGTATGTGAATACATAAAAAGGGCATATAAAAAATCGAATACATCATTTCCACTGCATTCCAAGTTGTCTTGTAGGCAACTCCATAAACCTTGGCTTTTTGAGTTCATATCCATCATTACTGATATAATGTTAATGTGTGTTTATACTTATGAAATTTAGATCAATCAATAGATTTTAACCTTCTCTTTTGTTACTAATCTGATTGAAATGTGATATGTTCTCAAAGATAAACTGTGAATAACACTCGATCTTCAACCACCTGCATTTGTTAAGGTAACACTACTAAATTATCAATCTTTTTTCTATTTTGTAATTATTAAGTAGGTTATTTTATTTAGTAGTGATTATCAGTGAAAGTTGTAAACGATTTATGACCACTTATTCACAAATGTTGGTATGAATCAATTCTGAACATGTTGTGGATCTGTTCGTGTTTCCCTTTGTCATGTTGTGATATGTGACCTAAATGTTAATGCAACAACATGAATGAAATCTTCACTTGTCATTTTTGTATGGGATTTGAATCTAATAAGTATATCAGTGTAACCAAACATAAAAGCATAGCCAACATTTAGATACGAATAATAAGTTTGGAGTTATGTGCAATATACAAAGAGTATCATTAAAAATTAAATTCTTGATCCAACCACTTTTATGTTTAAAATTCTCCATATCCTTCTAAAGGTCAGGGATGATATTTGCCAACATAAGGCAAACAAGTACTATCCAATATTTTAAAAACCGGTTTTTTAGTTGAAGCGGTATGGTGGCCGGCTCCTGGTTCGACCGCCGGGCGAACCGGTTTCTATATTTTTCATGTTTTTTTCTATTTTCCTTCACATACGTACATATATAAATTATGAATTTGATGTTTACAAGTTCAAACTTTAAAATACACATAAAAATAAGTTGTAGATGAATCCAAATACATTAAAATAACACATTACCATAAGTTTTAGTGTTTTACATCAATCCATATACGTCAAAAAGAAAATAAAGTATAATACCGAAATGAAATATAATTTTAGATGAATACAAACACATAAAAAAAAACTTTATAACATTTACCATATGTTTTTATTTAGAGAAAACTAAATAAATTTGAAAAAAATCACTAAAGTTTATTATGTAAATGGTTCTTTTTCATGTGTTTTTATTTGGTTTAACCGGTTCAACCGGGTTTTTTCTAAAACTGGCCGGTTCAATCCGGTTCAGAAATCAATGTAAAACCGGTGATAGTTGAATCGCTCCCTCTCCCGGTTCCCGGTCCAACGTGTTCGACCGGCCGGTTCAAACCGGTTTTTAAAACGTTGGTACTACCTTGTTTTGCTCGTCAAACTTCCTATTCTAGTTGATCTGAATAGTAGCTGTCTAGTTCTCAGGAGGCGTATTAGGTAAAAAAGGTTTTTAATGATGTGTAACTTCTATTCATGTGTGAGGATGATCCTCAAATTCCAATACCAGTCGCTTTCAGTTTCTCATTCTCTAAAAGAGAAGTGAGAGACAAGTTCTTTATGGATGTTACGACCATCTAAAAAAAATTAAAGTTTAATTTTAGTATTAGTATTTTTGAGATTAAATTATTTATAAATAGATCACCCTTATATCTGTTATAAACCTGCAGCTCTTATGGAAACACTTGAAATATTTCATTATTATATGGTCTTAGGACCGTTTTTGTAATAATCATTTTAGTGTTATAATATTTACATATTGTGATTATAACTATGCAAATATGACATAATTGGTACCTGATCTTACAAAACTTACTTGATGGAAGCAACTGTGTGTTACATATATGAGGGGAATCTGATTGCCTATTAGATGTCTGATACGTATATACAGGAGACCATTAATTTTTTTCTCTCAACTTCAGAAGATGAGTTCCATAAGAACACCACACAATCTTTCATCGATTTAGATATCAAGCAGATCAATGGCTTCATCTCCTATATCAAAAATCCCATAGAAAACTGGTTATTCAAATACGCTCTCGCTTTTACTGTGGATCCAATATGTGTTTAATATGATTAGAAAAGTTTATTTAACACCACATCAATCTAGAATTGTTCTTGGAACATCATGAAAGCATTTGTTGGATTTAATCTAACATAAGACAACTTGCAATAACATTAGTGTGTTGGGAAGAATGTAAAAGAGAGGTTCTGCACAACAAAAACACATAGATCCTTTTTATTAACTACACACATAATGACAATTACAAGTTCTGGACACACATGAACCAACACAACCCTTTGACAACCCAACCATCACACCCCTTTATTTTTTTTGGCGGCTGGAAAAACTATAACTAACAAACTTCCAGAAAATAACTAACCAAATAAAATTACAAAACTAACCCTAATTAGTCGAGGAGAAACTAAATTTCAACATATTAGAGTTTTTCCCGCAACATAGACAAGATAGATTCTCCCCAAAACACATCCTGTTTCTGTATTTTATCATCAGAACGCCACTTCTCAACTCGTTTATCCACACTCTCCACTTCCTGCTTACCCTTCTCAACACTCTTCTTCTTAGTTTCAAAAACCTCTTTCATAATCTCCTCAACCTCAGCAACAAAATTACTCTCACAAACAACCTCATCAAAACCCATACCATTCGCATGTTCATACCATCTCTGTGTAAACTTATACCTCTTTGGCCTATATTTCATATACCCATCTCCCTTCAAATGTCGATAATAATTGGCAATATCTAACGGCTCAACAAGCCGCCTAAACACTGTCCCCACCTCCACCCAATCCTCCCGCCCCTCAAATTCATCCGGAAGATCCTCCCGCATCACCATTTCAACAATCACATCCCATATCTTAGCCAACTCTAGCCTGTTCATATTAGCCTGAAAGTCTGCTTTCTCATTTTGAAGCTTGAATGCCTCATAGTAATCTAGATTACTATCTTTGTAGTTACGGATTTCACTCAGAATATCCCCGATCAGCTTAGATTCAGTCCGAGATTGAGGTTGCTCTCTTCTCAATGACTTATCAATCACCTTCTCGTTTTCTTTCTTCCTCTTCTCTGCCTCTTCAGCAGCAATTATACAGCATCTCGCACTTGCACTCTACAACAACATAACACAAATCAATTCGGCTCAACTACAAAATGTAATTTGTTAATGGGAAAAAGTTGAATTTCACCACTCACCAGTTGAAATAGAGCTTCGTTACTTGTACGAACCGCATCACCTGCAGTACCATTAGGAGTCAACAAGTGGTCGTTGAGGTCTTTCAGGTCGACCAAGTTTTCCAGCTGTAACCCGTTCTTCAGTTCTTCTTCGTAACTGAAACTTTGTGATAAACTTTTGTGCGCAAAATCAACTGGCTTTTGATTTTCATCGGTTAGCTGTAAGAAATAAAACAGTAACTGTAGAACAGCGCTCGGGTTTTCAACCCGAAACTGTTGAGAAGGGCTAGTGCAAAAAACGTAAAAACCCGATGGTCTATACGGAGAGACTTTTACAAAGTCAACCGATAGCTTCTCCATTAGAGAATTTGTAGGTTCCATGAGCTCAAATGCAACATGGCTTGCAACCGTTGATGCATTTATTATTACATTCTCAAAGAACTCAACAGATTCAGCATCTCCTATCGACTGATCTTCATCCATTGGTTGTCTGGCACTCGGTTTTTTACGCTTATGATCATTGGGTTTGACTTTCTGTTGGAAGGATTTGAGAATACTAGGTAGATGTTGTTGAATTGATATCTTAGGAGATAGCATCATACGAGGAACAATGTCGTGCTCCATGACAAAATGGGTAAAATGACCCGCCCATTTCTCACGCCGGACCGCGTGGGACAGGGTCCGATCACCAATCAGAGGTGACCCGAAAGTGACGCACCCGATTGGGAATTTTTTACCGCGTTTTTTTATGTATTCATCGAGCATCCAAAGTGTGGCAAAACTTGCTGTCGCACCACCATACAAATGCCCCGTGAATAAAATCTTCTTATTTGCGTTCACAGCTTTCTCTATCTGAAAATTTTACAGTTTGACTTTCGGTCAATTTTCTTCTTTTCAAATCTAAAATTATAACTTGAAGGTAAAGTTATTAGATTTATACCTCGGATTTGAACGTGGAATCGTTTAAAAGATCTTGAAATCTTTTAAGAAATGCTGCGTTGACTTTGGCGGGTCGATTCTCTCCGATCCGGCACAGGGACTTGAAGAGTTTACGATCAACCTCGGTTTCTCCAAAAAGATCACCATGGTACCAGTTGCTGACTTCCCATGATCCTGGAAATGCGAAGATAGCAACCTCCATTGATGAAGATGTACCATGTTTCTTGTTGGGGTTTGTGATGAAAGGTTTGTTTTGTTTGTGGGCTTCCATGGATAGAGATTGAGCTGTTTTTGTAAGCTCATTGCTCAGGCTGAGTTTCACTGATTCTTTCTCTACCTCCATTTTCTCTCTTTGTAAAACACACACTAAAAGAACAGTTTGTAAATTGATTTTGATTGTTTTTCCAGTTGTTGATTGGTGTTTAGTTAAATATATAGGGGATGAAATATTATATAATAGAAGGAAGAAATTACATGGAATGTGAGGATTGTATGAAATTACAATTTGAACCCTTTTGAAGGATAGCAATCATGATAAAGTCAAAGAAAAGACGACCATAGCAAAGTTTGTGAAGCCATTTTGCGGTTACAAAATATTCTTGTTTTCACAAGTGGATTTTGTCCACTTCGCTTGTAGCCAGTAGGCTTCCTTGAAGTTTCATGGTCATTCGAACGACGATTTTTAGGAGACGACTTGCAATTTTGTCTTGGTTTGGGAAATTGTGACTCAAATTCCTTGAAATCCGCAACGTGTGCTAAATGTGTGTTACTTGTTTTCGTTTATATATTATTTATTGGTTATAATAATTGTATATGAGTATTATGTGATACATGTAAACTAGTAAACTCTAAGATGATCCCACTCTTCCAAGAGGTATGTATACGTAGGTATCATGTTCTTTTGATATTGGACCTTTTTTTTTTTTTTTTTTTTTTTTTCTTTAAGACCTACTTGTTCAAGCTTTAGCATATGAACAAGTTTCAAATCTATCTTTAAAGT